GGCTGCTTGCCGGGCGCAACGGCTTGTTGAAAGGGAGGGCGAGGAGGAGGCTCCGCGCTCCCTAGGCGGAACGGTACTCTGGATTCAGTTGCCATGGAAACTGCACTGCTGTCCCAGATGCTGCTAACTTTGAAGTCCACACAGGATGGAATCAGCCCAAAAATAACAATAAGACGCTCTGGGTTTTAAGGTGGATCCGAGCAGTTGCTACCCCAGTGCCTGGGCTGGACTGGGGAGGGTTTCCGCTCATGGGTGCCCCTCCCCACAGAGCACTGCCCAGGCCAGCTCCGCTGTCCATCGCCCTGGGCCTGTGACCCTCTGGCGTGTCCTGGGCCGGCTGTAGCTGGCCGGGGCCCGCGGGGACACGGGCACGTCCTCCCTCGCGTGCCTTGCAGCAGGCGGAGTTGCTGCCTCCCCGTCCCACGCAGCAGCCCGGGCTGGCATCAGCAGGTCGGCTGGTCCCGCGGGCTGGGAGCTGTCCCTGGTGGGCACTGGCTGGAGACCCCGGCCACTGAAATGCCTCTGACCCCCGTCACACCCATGTGAAGTTCACAGCTCTGTGTGGGGTCCGTGGCACGAGCGCTGTGGGTGACAATGCCCGAGCCAGCAACGCCGTCGCCTCCTTATAGGAGCCAAGGGGAGAGGGAGAGAGGGCCTCAGTAAACCCGGGATGTGAAACCCGCTGTCGATTTGTTACCAGCCAAAGCAGGGCTTCAGGGGTCGGCGCTGGGACCCAACGCCCCACAGCGGCCCCCGTGTCCGCGGCCCCTCGCTACAGCACGTCTCTGCCATGCCTGGGCACCAGCCCTGGCCTGATGAGCTGTGCCGGGTCTCGCAGAGCAGGCGCAGGGCGTGGCCAGGACATGGCTGCCCCGTCCCACCCGGCAGGCCAGTGTCGCCCCGCACAGCCCGTTGGCCGAGCCAGCTGCCAGGCGCCGGCTTCCCAGGGCTCTCGGGCTTTGTGCCTGGACGTGCAGGGCGTCAGGCATGGCTGGAGGCTCCCTTCCCCCCTCTAGGCCCCAGCCGGTCACCCCCAGGCTGCAGCCCCCTACTCTCCCGCTGTCCCTGTAGCGGGTGCCAGGCACTGTCCTGGGCAGGGCCCTACGGTCAGGTACGGGGTGCTCTGTGGCCGCGCCCCTGCTCCCTCCTAGGTGCCCCTGGCTGCAGGGACCTCCGCGGGGCCCACCCCTCCCGCCCCGCACGGGCAGGACTCGCTTCTGCCCTGTGCCAGGAGCGAGTAATTTACACTTAATTGGGATCAGGTGAGCGGCCTGCGATGGGAAGCGAGCGCAGAGGCTGCGGATCGATGTCGACTCCGTGTACTTTAATTATTCACTTAATCGTGGTGACACGGGCTCCTTAGCATCGGGGGTAATTAGATTGGTGTTCATCGATTCCCTGGGCCACTGCCAGCTGCAGAGAAATGACCAGGCGCTGCCCCCAGCCCTGCCTGCGGCCCCCGGCTGGCCTGGCTCCGCGGAGGCCCGGGTGGGCAGCAGGGAGCTGGGCCAGGACGCGTGCGGCCATCTCCTGCCTTGGCCGGCCCCATGCGGCCGCAGCGGTGACCAGGGCAGCTGCGCTCCCGGCCTGGCCCGCTCCTGCATGAATACGTAATCAGGAGGCAGGAAGCGGAGCTGGCTGTGCCCTGGGGCAGATGCACGGCTGGCTCCCTGCGCTGGCTGGTCCAGGGCAGCCCTCCTTGCAGAGGTGCCCGGCCCAGCCCCTCACGCCCATCTCTCCTGTGCCCAGTTCCCATCGATGCCACGCAGGGGATGAAGATGCTGTACGTGTTCGTGGACATCAAGATCGACACGTCTCACTTCCTTGAGACCGTGCGCTTCAACTTCCGCCCGGGCGCCCGCCTGGCCCTCGTCAGCACCATCCAGTTTGTCTCGGCCCTGCAGGTGAGGTGACGGGGAGGGCCCCGCTGCCAGCAGCTGCCACTCGCACCCCAACACCTGCCGGTGCGGAGAAGCAGCCCCCAGCGCCTCCTTCACCTGCTTCCCAGCCAGGGCCCTGCCTTGCTGCCGGCGCCAAGCCCCTGCGCTGATGGGCTTCAGGCGGGTCTAATAGGGCCCACGCTCCTGCTTCTCAGCTGGCACCGGTCCCGGGGGGGTCTGGAGCATGGGTGCGTGGCCATGTGGCCTCGGGGACCCTGGCCCTCATCCCCTGGGCGCAGTGGCCTCTGGGAGATGGTTCACAAGCTTGGCCTGTCTCCTGGAGTGCCTGGGGGCTGCTCTGGGCCAGAGCCGGGGGGCACAGTCACAGGGGATGCAGCTGCCTTGGCCCCGTGTGCGTCTGAGCGGCTGGGGCAGGCCCATGCCTCTGTGTGTGTGTGTGCGCGCGCACCTGTCCCTGTGGGCCACACGTCCCTGTGTATTGCAAGGGCTTGGGGGTGGCTGGGGGCACATGCCTGTGCATGGCAGGGGAGTTGCGGGGGCGCACCCGCGGGCATACGAGGCATCTCCCCTCCGCCCTGGCACGTCACCGCCACGGTGCTGCTCGAGCACTTTATAACAACTGGGATCGGTGTTTCGCGGTGGCTGCCCTCCCCCAGCTCCCGGGGGAGCTGGCGCGGTAAATGTCAGGGCAGGCAGTCGAGCACTTGGCATTTTGATGTGCTGCTGGAAGTGGCCGGGGAGGGCTCCGGCAGGCGCGGGCAGGGCTGCCTGTGGATTAGACGCTGCTTGTGAATGGCCGCCTGGCAGGACGGAAGAGATGAATGAGCCTCTTGAGCCATGTCTGTCTAAACACGGGGTTATTGAAGCGTTAAACGTTTGCTCTTGTATTTTAATTGATGCGTCGGCTGAGCCGGCTGCGGCATCGCGCTCGCGCGCGCTCCCTCACACCAGGTGTCCCGCGCCAGCCGGCAGGAGAGCTTGCGTGCAGCTGCAGCCAGTGCAGAGCCCCCAGCCCCATGCGGCCTGGCCCCGGGAGGCTGCTCGTCTCTCACCCAGGCTTGGGCCTGACGGGCACCACACCTCCGCGTCGCAGGGCTGTGGGGCATAACGCTCCTTCGCCACACGCCGTAGAGCTTGTCTCCAGGCATGGGCATCAGTCAGCCCTGCCCCAGACCAGGGCTTCAAGCCCCTTCCCCTCCCTGCACCCCCGCTCCCCCATCTGGTCTCAGCCCAGCTGTGTCTCCCCGCAGGCTGCCTCGCAGGAGCTGCGCCCGGACTACGAGGTCTGCGTCCCGCAGTGCAAGCCGCTGTCCCCGGGTGAGATCCTGGGCTGCACGTCCCCCCAGCTGGCACAGGACACGGATGCCATCGTGTGAGTACCTGGGGGCACGTGCCCGCCCACACTTGGGGAACGTGTCCCTGGTTTGCTTGGCTTTTCCCGGCCTTCCCACAACTCGGCCTTGTGCCCAGCCCCTGCCTGGAGCTCTGCTGCCAGTCAGGCTGGGGTGCAGGAGCGCCACGGGCTCAGCTGTCCGCCAACCCAAGTGCAGCCCAGGCCTCTTCATGGCCGGTGCTGGGGCAGAGGCTCCTTCCTGCCTGTTACGCTGCACCGAGTGCCACTGTGAGGCAGGGGCTGCGGCACCCGTGCTCGGGGGGCCGTGGGCGGGGTCCGGCAGAGCCAGGGGGCTGGGGCACGGCTCGGAGCGGCTGGTGCTTGCCATGCAAGAGAAGTAATTGAGTCGTATATCAGAACAGATAATAGATGGAAGGGCGGGCAGATAATTGGAGAAGACGGATGGCCAGGGCCCAACATCACAGAAACATTAATTTTATTTAAGGACAGCAAATTAGAGGGAGCACTTCGCTTCCTATCACCTAATTATTTTAGGTAATGGAAATGCTTAATGTACTGTGAATACAGTGCGCTGCAGAATAAATAAATAAAGCGGCCCCACCCCGGGGATCGGCCGGCAGCGCCGCCACGGCCGCGCCGGCTCCAGGGAGGCGCCTGACCCTCCGGGCGCCCCGGTGGCAGGGCAGAGCTGGGGGGCTGCGGAAGAGGTGACTGGTTCACGACGCCTTTGAGGCCTTTGGGGAGGGGTCCCAGGGGCCGCACGTCTGCGCTTGGCGGGTGGCCCTGGGTCAGGGTCCGTGTCCCAGAGCAGGGCTGGAGCCGCAGCACTGGTGACCCTGGGGGCGGTGGGGGTCTGCTCACACGAGTCAGGTGCGCCTTGTGGCCAGTCCTGTCCCCAAAGCCCCCCAGGGCTCCTGGCTAAGGTTTCCCCAGGTGCCCGTTGCTGCCTCGCAGCCTGGCAGGGCTTGGGCTTCTGCAGCCCCAGCTACTGGAGTCCCGGGACCAGGGAATCGCCACCACCCCGGCAGGCTGGCGGCTGCGTGGGCAGTGCTGCCAGGGCTCAGCCCCGGCTCTTCAGCGTTGTCTCCTTTAATAAGGGCCAGCGAGGGCGCGTCTTGGGAAGCTGCATGGGCTCGAGGGGTCATCGCCTGCCTGGCCCAGGGCGGGGGGACAAGCGGGGGCCACGGTCAGCTTTGTTTTCCTGGCGAGGCACGTTCCTGCTGCTCATGCACCAGGACGCCCCGGAGCTGGCGTGGACAGACCCCCCCAGCACGCCGGCCCTGGCCCCGGGAGATCCCCAGCCTCAGAGACTGTTGGGCTGGCGGACTTTCCTTCTGTTGGCTTCAGCTGGTTGCCTTCGCGGTTCTCGCCCTCCTGTGCGTGGGGCTGGGGTATTCGGGCTGCTGTCTGCGCGTGCTTGACGCAAGCTTTCCCCGTCCTCGTCTTGCCTGTCTGCGCTCTGGAGAGACGCTGCGGCCAGGGGCCGCGGGGCCAGGCAGGCGGGTCCTGGCGGCTGCGGGTGGCCGCTGTACCTGCTCGACCCCGCGCGCACCTTCCCGAGTTGTTATTTTGTTATTTGGCCCCATCTCTGGGGCCAACTTTTTTGCAGACAAATTAGCTTTGATCTCCCGAAATGTCATTCTCCAATTAAAGGCAAAAATCTAGTCAAGTTTTACGTCTGAATTCATTTTCCGAGCCCTCACTCCATTAGGGCAGCTGAATGAAAGGCTTTGAAATGTAATTGCTGACTTGAAATCCGATTAGAAATGGAAGCAGAAATGTCTATAACCAGCCGTCGCGATTGAGCCTCTCCAAGGGGCCACGCGCCTGCCTGGAGGAGCATGCCCGTGTGGACGAGGAACGGGCCCCTCTCCCGCGCTCGTCCGGCAGGGAGCGCTCCCCGGGCAGGGCGTGGAGCGGGCGGCATAGGTCAGAGGGGGCAGCGCCGGGGCCAAAGGGGCACCTCCCGGCTCTGGGGTCTTGCCACGCAGGTGCTGCTCTTTGCTGAGCTCCTTCTCTCCCTGTTGCAGGTACCTGGGGGACGGGCGCTTCCACCTGGAGTCCATCATGATCGCCAACCCCGGGATCCCTGCCTACAGGTACGGGGCCAGACGGGGTGGCAGGGAGGGAAGGGGCCTCATGGTGAGGTCCCAGTGCCCGCCTGGCCCGCCGGCTGTGCGGGTGGCAAACCTCACAGTTGACAGCCCATCTGGAGGCCTCCCTGGAGCGGGGTTGTGCCTAGCACCTGCCCCAGCCCTGCCCAGACTACACGGGCCACGGGGGCCACGTCTGCAGGGAGCTTCCCCGTGCAGCCTCGGGCAGGTCGCTCCCCAAGCCTCTGCGGCGCCCGGGCGGCAGCGCACGGGGAGCCTCTGACCCAGCCTGCCCACCTGCCGCTCTAGGCTGGCTCTGGAGGGCTCTCAGCACGGAGCCGCGGCAGGCGGGAGCGAGGGCAGGCCCCGGAGAGGGGCAGAGGGGAGGCGCTGGAGGAGATGAACACCAGCCATTTACTCGGGCTGAATATAAACATTTTGACAAGTACCTGTGAAAGCTCTTTGAGGTGCAGCCATTAAACTCCCGGCTGCTGCAGGCAGAGGCCATAAAACGCGATGATGAGGCTGCTGAAAGCAGATGAAATATCAGGAGCGAGAGGCAGGGCCCGCTCGGCAAAATCTGAATTTCTTAGTAGGTCGTTTGTTACCGGCGGGAGCCGCACGTCAGGTTTATGGTGCTGGGGAAGCTGCGGAGCCCGAGTGGGATTTGATTAAAATTCTCCTCGTCAAACAAAGCAACAAATCACAGATCCCTCCGTAATGGGGGGGGAGGGGGAAGGGAGCGGGGGGAGCCTGGGGCCAGCCGGCACCCTGGGTTGGCGGGAAGAGAGCCGGCCCGCACGCTGCGCTGCGCTGCGCTGCCCTGCCCTGGTCCTGGCTGCCGGCGGAGCCCGGGGCACTGCTGCCTGCATCCTGCTCCCGCAGCCCTCGCCAGCTGCTGCTGCCCCCCCACCTCCTCCCCCTGCCCCCGGGGGCAACAAGCCAGGCAGCTGCTCTGTGGGGAGCACTGGGGAAAAGCCCTCTCTCATCCCCAATTAGTGCTAATGAGGCTGCTGAAGGGGAGGGGGTGCAAGGTGCCCTTGACCAGGCAGGGAGAAGCTGCAGCTGCACAAGCTGCCTTGCAGAGCGAGGCACGAGGGCACGGGAGGCGTGCGGATGTGGAGCTCTTGCTGGGCTGGCTGGCAGCAGCGCTGGGCTTCGGGGCCTCGTGGGCTTGGTGGGGCCGGTGTCGCCCACTGCACGCGAGGAGCCGCGAACCTGCGGGCCCATCCCTACTGTCCCGACGCGACAGCCTGGTGCTGCCGAGGGATGTAGCCGAGGTCCTCTCGGGACAGGGGACCCCATCCACAGCCCTCAGCCGGGCGCCCTCTGAGCCAGGGCAGTCGGGGCTGGCTTCTGCCCTCCTTCAGCCCAGGCGCCGGCCGGCGTGGAGAGCAAGGGAGGTGCGGTGGCCTGGGCTGGGCCCTGAGTATGTCTGCGCTGAGGGGTGGGGGCTGGCCCTGCTGCTCAGCCCCCCCCGAGCCACCGCTGTCTCCCTGCAGGTACGACCCCTACAGCAAGGTCTTGTCCCGGGAGCACTACGCCCACGAGCGCATGCAGCGCGCCCGCCAGGAGGCCATCAGCACCGCCGCCCGGGCCCGCACCTGGGGGCTGATCCTGGGCACGCTCGGGCGCCAGGGCTCCACCCACGTCCTGCAGGTACCACCCCGCCCCGGTTGCCCCCTCTGCTGCGCTCTCCTTGCCTCGCTCTGGGCTGGGCCCCAGATTTGGCTGTGTCCTGTCAGTCTCTGAGGTCAGTCTGGTGTCCCTCCCATGCCTGGATGCAGTGAGCTGCGCCTGCCCTGACTGCCCCGCTCTGGCATCAGGGCTGCAGCCCAGCAGGATTAGATGTGAGGCTGGGGGCTGCTGTCCCCATTCACCTGCACCCTGTGCTGCTGCCATGCCCCCCGTAACTCCCCAGAGCTGGTCGCAGCATCCTCCGTGAGCCCTGCCGGCTCCCCCAGCCTCAGCTGCCGCTAACAAGGACCTGCCCAGCTATCAGCCAGGCTGCGCGCGGCCCTGAGCCACGATGGCAGGGCAATTAGCGGCAGATGAGTGGGAGCCGGAGCCTCGTTAAATGTGCCCCTCGCTGGGGAGAGCCGGCTGGCCCCACAGACCCGTGGCAGCCGCCTGCAATTAATTCTCTATTTTTGTTTTAATGAGACGAGCGTGGTCGGTCCTGTGCCGCCTGCCTAGGCCCTGGCACTGGGGCTGGGGCTCTGCAGCAGCACGTCTCAGCTTGGGCCAGGGACAAAGGCTGTGGCAGCCCCGGTACATGGGGGCCCTCACCCTCTGTGCCCCCCGTGGCAGGGAGCTGGCGGGCAGCTCCGCGGGCCTCTTTGCTGCTGCATCCTGGAGGGGCTTGGTCCTGACTGAGCCCCCCCTTCCCCGCTGCAGTGCTGGAGCCGGCCCAGGGCTCTGCCCCCTGCCGCGCCCCCGGGCCAAGCTGTGGCTGCGGTGGGGGGCGTTGCTCCAGCCCCTGGAGAACATTTGTCCAAGTCCCAGCCCCGCCCCCAGCTTGGCAGCGCCTGGCACCGTGCTGCTGCTGCATCCTGGAGGGGCTTGGTCCTGACTGAGCCCCCCCTTCCCCGCTGCAGTGCTGGAGCCGGCCCAGGGCTCTGCCCCCTGCCGCGCCCCCGGGCCAAGCTGTGGCTGCGGTGGGGGGCGTTGCTCCAGCCCCTGGAGAACATTTGTCCAAGTCCCAGCCCCGCCCCCAGCTTGGCAGCGCCTGGCACCGTGCACAGCCTGCTCCCAGGGGAGGGGGCGGGAATACCAGGGAGGGGGCTTGGCATAGCCGGGGGGGGCTAGGGGCGGAGGGGGGCACAGCAAGTCCGTGGCAGGCTGTGGGGGCACAGCTGTGCTGGCCTGGGGGTGGGGGAGGATGGTCAGGGGATGCTTACCGTGCAGGTGGCGTTGGCAGAGCTGTGGGCAGGGGCCTCGGGCCGGGCCCGCAGGGCGCACCGTGGTGGGACCGTTCCTGTTCCCGTTCCCCTTGGGCCTGCCCTGCTGCGCCCGTGCAGCGGCCGTGCCGGCTCGGCGGCGCTCTGCTCTGTCCTGACTCCGGGCTGCGGCCCCAGCGGGATGGGTCAGGACCGGCGTCGCAGGGCCCCGGCCGCAGCTCCGAGGGTGGAGGAGTGGGATCTCCCTGGGCAGACGCTGCCCCTGACCGTCCCTCTGGCTGCCTGTGCCTCTGAGAAGGCTGCTGCTAACGAGAACAGATTGTTGTCATTGAGCAGTAATTACTTCATTAGGCGCAGTGGGGGGGCGCGCCACGGAGCTGCATGGCGAGGGGGGGCACTGAGCGCGGCTGCAATGCCAGCTTTGCCCACTGCTGTGGGGGGTGCGACTGGCCTGTGCTTTGGGGGGCCCTGAAACAGCCTAGAGACCAGGTCGCCGTGTGCCCCCCTCCCCAAAGCAGGGGGCACTTGACGACCTTGGCAGGGGCCAGTGCCCGCTGAGCTATGGAGATGGGCATGGGGAGGGAGTGGGGCTGGCCCGGTGCCTGCCCGGGCGGTTGTAGTGTGGCACAGCCCTGCCGCGGGGGCTCTCGCCTGTTCCCTCCATCGCACACGGTCCCGAGTCAGCTCATCTGTCGTCCACCCCCCCGCCCCCCCAGCTCCCCTGACTGTCCCTCTGCCCCGCGCTGCAGCACTTGGAGGCGCGTCTCCAGGCCCTGGGGCTGCCCTTCGTCAGGGTGCTGCTGTCTGAGATCTTCCCCAGCAAGCTGCAGCTCTTCCCCGACGTGGATGCGTGAGTACGGCTGCCCCGGGCTGCTGCCCTGCCCTGCCCTGCCCTGCCCTGCCCGCGCCCAGCTCGCCCGAGCTGCCTCTGCAGCCCCCCCCCCCCCCCGTCCCTGCAGTGCT